TAAACAAGGTGGTTGGTACAGGTAGGGAATGAAGTTTGGTGTCCCATTCCCAGCCTTCCAGTGTTCAGAGAGGGGTAAATTTCTTTGCTGTTTCTGAGCTGTGTCCTCATCAACTCATGCATGCTTGTCATGGGAGGGGGCCAGTAGGTGTGTGCTGTGTGAGCTCCTTGGGGACAGGCAGCAGCTGAACACATCAAACTGTGAACAGGAATTTGTATTCTTCAGCTTTAAAGGCTGAGTATTTCTGTTTGGAGATCTCTTTGTGGGGAGGGTTACCCAGGCTTTAAACATGTGCAGCCACAAGTTATAAGGTCACTGTGCTGTTCGTGTCCCTCCACCCTCCTTCCACTCATCAGCTGAGCTATCTCTGGAGAGTGCTGACACAGGGAAACTGCTACTACTTTGTCAATTCCCCTCCCTCCTCTCCTTGTTTTCCCGAGTTTCACCTCTCACCCACATCTGTTTCCTATGAATTTATCATTGTGGAGAGCCCAAAAGCCTCGATGTTGTGGGTGAAAACTGCAGAGAGCCTCCCAAAGTCTGTCCAGGACTAATTTCTAAGGATGTGAGTTGAGTGCTGCAGAGCTGCCCACCCTGCAGAGGAGCTGCTGGTGGCACATGTGACGTTTTGGGGATATTTGTTGCTTACTCTGGCTATCCTTCACTAACAGGACAAGAGAAGGGGCAGATTAAGTTATCAATCAGGAGCACATGGCAGTGGAAGGGAACACAAGCAGTTTGAAACCATCTTAGCAAAGATGTTGGTTGTGAGTAATGGGGAGAAATGCCCCTGCCTTCCCTGGAGTGCTGGGAGGGGATAGGGGCAGCTCCAAGGCCTCAGATATCAGTGCCTGAATTCCTGCTGGTACCTGATGGCAGGTAGGTGGAGCAAGGTTTGTTTGCAGTGGACACAAAGCTGGGAGGGTGGTTTAGGGCAGATGGGAGGGCCAGGCTGAAACTAGTAACTGTAGAGGAGCTTGGGTAGAAGGGAGGGAGGAAGGAAGGGGCTGTGTTACCTCCAGAGATAACACAGAGCAGCCAAGGGGATCTCCCCATCAGCCACAGCAAGCAGTGAATGGGAATTCACTTGCAGGGCTCACATCCATGAGGGATTCCTGCTAATTAACTAAACCAACCAGAGCTCTCTGGGAATCTCCAGCCTCCACTTCATGCTGGTGGTTATGTCGGTGACTTCTCTCTCAGTTCCTCCTTTAGTATTGAACTGTGTCAGATCAATTATTAAATATGAAGGAGAGTGTTTTATATCACTGGCTGGCAGCAGCAGCAAGAGAGCAAGTGCTTTGTCATAGCAGCAAAGGTTTCAGATAAGTGTTGGGAGAAGGAGAACTGAAGTGCTCTGGAGCTGTGAGTTAATGGAAGTCTGAAGGCACACAACTCACTCGAGGAGTTGTAAGCAGCCTTGGGATAGACATGTAATAGGAGAAGGGTTGACATGAGGCCGTAAAGGGAACTTCTTTCCTTTTTTTATTTTAACTGTCCTGTTTCTGTCTTGGTTACACAACGTGGGCTCTGTTCAGCGTGGGAGTTTGCATGCAGAGTTCCTCATGCAAGGGCAAGAACAGAAAGCTGGGTATATAATTGTTTTGTGTGACCTAAACCTGTTTTGAAAGAATAGAAAATGCTGATTATGGGGCAGGAGTTAAAGATGCATCAATCCTTTTAAAAAAACTAGAGAAGGCAGGTGAGCTGCCAACCCCCAGGGGAACAGGGTAGTTAAATCCAGGAAGGATTTTTCAGAGCCAGGGCAGTCAAAGCAGGGTGGCTACTGCAAAGCCATTCTTCATCCTGATGCCTGCAGTGAGGGTAGGAAGCTTTTTATTTGAGCAGGCTGTTGCTCAGTGCCAGGCCTTGTCAGCCTGATGTCTGGAACCAAAATAACTGATTTGGCTGTAGCTGTCGTTAGTTTTGTTTGGGAAAAGATCTCAGAGAACATGACAGCTGTAGATTAGGAGGACCTTATTTTTGTATCCCTTTGGGTCTGGCTGGGTTTAGTCTCCTGTAATTGCCAGGCCCTTGCTGTATAGTTGTTTTAATAAATGAATGAATCTCCATGCTTAGGCTTTACCCTGCTGCTGCATGGGATGCCTGTCTCCTGGTTCCTTTTTCCTGCTCTAAGCAGAGCTCATCAGGTTTCCCTCACCCTTCTGCTGCTCTGCTTCTCCATTTCTCACTGATTAGAATAAAAACTGGACTGTGGAGGGCTTATGCCCAGCAGGGCTTTCCCCTTCCCTCCTTCCTGCTTCAAGCCTGATCCTGACGCACTGTCCTCTCTCACCCCATGCAGAGACCACAACCAACATCTCTGAGCTGGAGAACAGCACAGATTCAGAACACAAATGGCCTTCCTGCAACGCCCAGGATGAAATGCTGAACTTGGCCTTCACCATCGGCTCCTTCCTGCTCAGTGCCATCACGCTGCCCTTGGGAATTGTCATGGACAAGTACGGCCCCCGCAAGCTGCGGCTGCTGGGCAGGTGGGTGTGCAGGGCTCCAGGGGTGGGCTGAGGGCTCAGTTCCCACCCTGTCTGGGTGCTGTGCCTGTTGTGGGATCCCTGCAGCCTCGGGAAGCGTCTGAGGAACGGGGCTGGGATCTGCACAGGACAGCAGAGCAGCTCTGGGGTGATTTCAGCCAGCACAGTGAATTGCTCCATAAGGGAAGGGCCTGGAACTCCATGTCCACACTTCAGCTCTCCAGTGCTGCTCTGTGATCCCTGTCCAGATGGAGCCTGGAGGAAGAGCGGAGTCATTTGTGAGTCAGGGAGGGTAGCTTTCTCCTTGGGCTGGGAGCTATGTCCTGAGAGGCACAAAACCAAGATGTTACATCATTGTTTGCAGGCTGGGGAGTTAACTTGGGGATAAACATGTCCCGTTGCCTTTCCCAGGGCCCTTCTCTTCCGTGTGGTGTGTGCTGCATTCTGCCTCAAACAGCGAGGTTGTCAACTGCTTCTCTCATTGGCACACTGGGATTAGGGACTTTTGGGATCAGTGTGCTCCAGCACTGTTCTAACTGTCACAATTTTAATGCAGTGAACTTAGTGATTAGAAACCAAACTGGCCTGTGGGCAGAGTGGGAAAAACAGGGCAAGTCTCTGAGTCAGACCACACCAGAGAGGAGTTGAGTGCTGGGGCTCAGGACAAAGGCTGCTGCTGCTGCCTTTGGTCACCCCGAGGTGAGGGCTGGAAAAACTCTCTGCTGGAAAACCAGTGGGAATTGGGTCCAGACAGAGCTGCGTCAGTGCTGGGAGGAAAGGTTTCTGCCCCAGCCCTTGTGCAAGGCTTGCCTGTAATACTTGTTTGCCAGTAATATTTGGGTATTTCCCTGGATTATTCTTTCCAAATTGTCAGCTTCCCTCCCTGTAACAGAAATTGCCCTGTGAGGTGCTGAGGAGGTGGAAGCAGCTGTAATTTACCGTGGGTAAGGCTGTTTGTGAGAAACTCATGGCTCTGGTTCCCTTTCAGTGCCTGCTTTGCCGTGTCCTGCGTGCTGATCGCGTACGGTGCCAGTAACCCAGACTGTAAGTTGGCATCTTTCTGCTGAGCTGGGAGCATTTCAGGGCTGTGGTTTGGGGTTTTTAGGGAAGCAAAGTTCAAACCGTCACCCTCCAGTGCTGTACTGGGGTCTTGCTGGGTACACAAGCCAAGCAATCTGCCAGCCTGAGGGAGCCAAGTGGCTCTGGGGAGGGCTGGTGTTTCACAACACCAAGTGGAGACTGTAGCAAGGGCCAAATGCCTGGGATATTCAGGTCGCAGCTTTGTGTTTGAGCAGGGCCAGATCCTGTAAAGGTGCAATTCCAAATGAGTTCATGGCTTTTTTAGGGTTGGGAAATGAGTAACAGCACACAATTGGCTTTTTTGCCAGAGGTGGATGGAGCTTGCTCTTCAAGAGCAGATAGTGAGATGACACTTCGGATTGTTTGTTCAAGTAAATCTTCTTTTTAAGACGCATCAGACTGGTTGCATCAGCAAGTCTGTGCATTAGAAAAAAGGAACCCTTCCCTCCCATCCTGAGCTCTGTCTTGGAGAAGAGCCCTGTCCCTCCCAGCCTGTGTGGCTGGGGAGATGGGTGCTGGGTCAGGAACAGCATGACATGTCCTGAGGGTGTTGATCCACTGTGGTTTTCACATGTCAGGACCAAAGCCTTCAGGGCTCTGTCTCCTTTCCCTCTGCACCACAGTGGGAGCTGAGGGCAGGTTTTTATTTTGTTGCAGCTCTGTCTGTGCTGATATTCATTGCCCTGGCTCTGAATGGCTTTGGTGGGATGTGCATGACCTTCACATCGCTCACGGTAAGTGAAGAGTTACTACCTGACTGTTTTATCCCTTGCTGTGAGCTGGGCTGGCAAGCAAGAACAAAGTGGATCTTCTGCCTGTGGCTTGAATAGCACGTGTTTGTGTTTGGTACAAAGGGTCAGTCACCCTTGGGAGCGAGTCCTTGGTTGTTGTTCTAAAGCTTGTTTTCCCCAATCCTTTTTTTTTTTTTTCCACCTGCCCTTTGTATCTCAGGTGAAGGTGGGGGGAAAAAAGGAAGTGTTTTTGTCTAGGACTCATAATGTGCCTGTACATGCAGTGCTCAGCTACTTGGCACAGGCTGGATGTGTGTTTGCACTGGATTTAGCATTGACATAGTGCAGGAAGAATCAGCAGGGCACAAACCCTTGCAGCTGGGTATGACCAGCTTTCTGCAAGCACAGTTTGCATCTTGCCCAAGGAACATGGTTCTTCTTGATCACAGAAGGTTTTGCTCTTCAGAAGGGTGAGTCCCTCACAGGTTTCCTTAGAAATGCTGTTGTTGGGTGTGCACAGCCCATTTGGGTGCATTCAGGATTGTATGGAAAGCTTTGGTCAACAACTGTCAGCTGGATCTCTGTGTTTTGGGGTTCTTTCTGCCTGGAGGCAGAAGCAGTATCATTCTCCAAATAACTGCTTTATTTTCTGCCTCATTACCCTGATTGTTGTCACTGTGGCTCAAACAGGGCTGGGTGGAAAGTCGCCCAGAAAGGGAAGCACCGATTTTTTATTTTTTTTTTAAATTTTTCTTCTTGAACTGTAGTTGAAAACTTTCAGATTTGGACAGCACTACCTTGAACTTGCTGTTGAAGTGAAACTTCCTGTTAAAGTTATCTCTCATTTAACAGGGCTTAGACACTGGCTGAAGGCCTGAGACCTAAATTTGGCAGAAACTTGCTTTAGAGAGCACTCTGTGTACTGTGGTTCTGCTGCTGCTGTTGTTGCTTTCATACATACAAACCTTTCAGAAATCTGTGCAGATGTTGCCCTCTCCTATAGGTGGTGTTCTTCACTGGAAGCCTTGGCTGTGACCCCAAGGAACTGTGGGGCAGATGTCATCCTGCTTCAAATAAAAGCAAGGAAGAGAGGAGCACACCTGTAGTGCTGTGGGAGAGGAGAGGATTCCCATCCTGCTGCTGCCAGCATTGATTATTGTCTCTCTGGGTGGTTATTAAGGGGTCACAGACTATTTTAGAACCACTGCTGATGATAGGAGTGAGGGCAGGATAGGGCAGGAATAGATTGGGTGTGCTGTGCTGTGGCTTTTAGCAGCAGAAGTAAGCAAAGCCACTTATTAGTGCCCTCATTAGTGATCCAGTTCTGCAGTGCCAACAAAGAGCAGCAGCAGAAAAAAGGTCAGATCTTCCAAGAGGAGATCCAAGCCTGGAGGAGGTCTGAAGGAAGCAGTGATGTTGTGAGGTCACAAAGATGCCTCAGGTGCAGCCCATCCCCTCAGCGAGTTCTGCAAAGAGCTGGGATGGCTTCAGCCTGACTTCTCCAGTCCACAGGCAGGTGTAGCTGCTTGTGCAGCTGCACAAAGCATTTTGGTACCTGGGGCGTGTGAAGGTGATCAAAAATAGGTTAAGTGGGAGGGAAACACTTCTTCACCCGCAGTACAGCCTGCTGCCTGTTAGAACCAGCTGTATTTTGGTTGTTGGCAGCTTACAGCTTTATCCTTCTGCCTGCAAGCTGCACTTGGCGTGTCAAGAGCCATCTTGTGCTGTCACAGGGTGATACCTTGTGGATTCCTTCCAGCTGTGGCCCCTGGAGATGGGCGAGGGAGGGACATGGGGACACTGTGGGTGATGTGCTCTGCCTTGTGCCTGGGAGGGGACGGGCTGAACGCTGAAAGGGGACACTCAAAAGACTTTTTTAAGGACGTTCATTACCGAGGCGATGAGCCCTGCTCGTCCAGGTGCCAGGGGAGCTCGGTCTGGCTGCGAACAAGTGACAGCAAGGTGACTCCCTGCTCCTGCCAGCTGCAGGTGACCTGAGGTGCTCCAGGAAATGGATCAGACCCACTTGTGCAATGGTCCTTGACCACTCCAGGCAGGTTTTGCTTGCTGCTTTGTGGCAAGGTGTCCCTGAAACCCAGCTTGTGGGACTTCAGGTGCTGACACCTCCCAGGACACGGTGTGATGTGGTGGCAGGGACCCTCAGGCAGGGATAAAGGGGATCTCTGAGGATTAGAGCCTGGGATAGTGCTCCACAAAGCTTTGCCTCTTGAGTTGAAAGCTTTTTTCAGCAACAAGTCCCCAGGGTATCATGAAAGCACATGGCAAGCTGTGGAGCCAAAACAAGCTGCTGTTCCTGGGTGCCTGGCCTGTGGCTTGGGAGGAGGGGGCAGCCAGCAAACGCTTCCCAGTTCTGGGAATAAGGTCAGGCTGTGCTTGTTGTTAAAATGCAGAGGGGAGATTTCTGCCTCGTGACTTGGTCTTGGCCAATATAAGTGAAGATTGGAAATGGAAACAGATCTGTGCTGGTGGGTCTGACAGCAACACAGGAATCTGGCGCTGGTTCTGCTCTGAAGCTATTTCATGCAAAGAAATAAACATGTGTGATAAATTACCACAAAGAGCCTTTTATAGATTGTTCTCTGTCCTGTTTTCCTTTCAAAGAATTACAGCTGCTTTGCTCTGATTTTCTGCTGCAAACAGCCCCCTTGAACCAGAGGGGAGGGGACATCTCTGTGTAGGGAATCTTCTTTGCTTGGAAATATTAGGAGAACTTAGGGCTCTGTGAGCTTTTGTTTGTTGGAGAATGGGAACAGGAGTTCCCATATGCTTTGGGCAAAGGGGGCAGTTTGAAGCTTTCCTGCAGAACATATTTTTAGTGTTTGTGTAACTTCCAAATACACCCCCAATGGGGGAAACAAAGTTTAATTGAACAAAAATACCATTTTTCAGTAGCCTAGTCTTCTCTAGTCTTGATTTTTTCCATTATTCTCTCAAACAGTCCTTGCAAGAGGAGGGAAACAGGGTTTGGTAGCAATGCTGTGCTATCTTCTGTATATGGAATGTCTCTAGGGAAAAGCTGGAAAACAATATAAATTATTACAAACTCACTGTAGGGCAGATGAGAAAAAAAAAATCCACAAGAGGAAATGATTTATCAGTTTAGGATTACAGACCTGCAATAAAGGACTCCAGTAAAAAACAGTTGCGTGTGGCAACATTCACTGAGTGTCTTTGTGACAGGACATAAAGTTAATAGTACATTGAGTATTAGTGACCTTTAAACAAGAGGCTTAAGAGTTTCTGTCGTCATAGGTCTTGCAGAATTGGAGCTGTCATACCAGAATGGGCAGAAGTTAGTGGAGGAGTCACTTCTGGCCTGCGGGGATGAGATCAGAATGAGGATTAGATCCTTTTTGGTGGCAGAAAAACACAGCTCACTTGCTCCATGGCTTGTGTTTTTTGTTGGGTGTTTTTTTTTTATCCTCCTCTTTGGTTCATTTTTTCCAATGCTTGCTATTATAAAGACAGCATGAAAAATGACTGGATAATACTGCATGTTATTTTTGTAGCTGGTCTTTAGATGATACCTGTGCAGGCACTGCCAGTGCTGACACAGTCTGAGAGGTTTTCTGTCTTGAAGGGACTTTTCCCCCTTCATCTCTCCTCTGCCTCTCCAGGCAGTCCCCTATTTCTCTTTCTTCCAAGTGGTGAGTGTTTGCAGTTCCTGCTTTGATTGGGCTGGATAAGACATTAAATCTCTCCTGTCCATTTTTTTTAATCTAGCTGCTTGCTTGGTGCCAAATTGGATTTGAGGAAATCTTTAGACTTTCTAGGACTTCTGTCCCAATCAAGGCAGAAGCAATCTTGGGTTTTCCTGGTCATGGCTGCCTGTTCCATGTCTCCAGCAGCCCTCAGAGCAGGAGGATCCACCTGGAAGTTCCTTGCCTGCAGTATGAAAAAGGGTTTTTGTGGACTCTGGATCTCTGGGGAAAACCAGCCTGAGCCAAGAAGCAGCTGTGTTTGTGCAGCTCTTGCCCTGCCCTGAGCTCCCCAGCATGAGCAGCAGTTTTGTTGTAATTTCTGGATGTTATTTTAGGTTTGGGGTGTTTGGGATGAAGCAAATGCCCATCCTGGTGACAGCAACCAGCCTTTTTTGGAACCCTCAGATATTCCACTCTGCAGATGCTGCTTTCTGGGAGTGTGTAAATTTAGGCCAGTGCTTCCAAGAGGAGATTTTTCAGCGCCTGGTAACAGACCTTTGGATCCTTTAGCCGTTTCCTGTCTGCAGCTCCCGGGAGCAGCCTGCTGGCAGCTCTCCCGCATGCGGGGATCCGCGATGGGTGTGGGGATGCTCCGCAGAGCAGCGCAGCCTCTTCTGCCTCCTCCTCCTCCTCTGGGGTTCAGGGCAGCATCAGCCTCAGCACATCATTGCTGCTGCTCCCCAGCCCGGGGTTATCTGAGGACCTGGAGCCTGCAGTGCATAGGAAGCTCTGCAGTGAGGGATGATAAACAGCCAGATGGGTCCCGGAGTGCTCCTGCACAGGAATACTTGCCTTGTAAACACGCCGTGACACAAGCCAGATTTGCTTGCCTTATATGCTGCTCCTGGGAAAGATGGATTTGTTTTTCAGCCGTGCAAGGGGAGTGTGATGGCAGCATTTGCTTGCTCAGGCTTGGGCTAGTATTCTCAGAATCATTTTGTTCAGCAGCCTCTTTGCACAGATGAAGGGCTGCTTGTGCTTTCAGTCCTAGAAGGCATCTGCAGTGTCCTGCTTTGAGGCCCTCTGAGGCTGACGTGGTAGTGATGCTCAAGTGAATTTGGGGAGTAAGTGACCCAAAAAAATAGGTGGGAGGGAAATCTGCCAGCCTGCAGCAGAATCTCTGCCCATTGACCAGCTTCAGGAGGTACCAGCCCAGCTCTCCATAGCCTGACAACTTCATTGCTTCTTGTTATTTCCAGTTTCCAGGCCAGCATTTGTGAGTGGTGAAAACTTGTTCACTTCTGGTTGTTTAGGAAAACAGGGAGCTCTTCCTTTCCCAGGAGGGTAGGAAGGTCTCCCAGCTGTTTCTGCTGTTGGATCTTGAGTGAAAGCAGGGGCTAGTGAGCCATCTTGGGAGTGATTTTGCTGTTCAGGTCGCAGAGGTGGTTGCTGTGAACTGCTGCTGCCTGTCCTTCCTGAGAGCTTTGCTTTCCCAACAGATCCTTGCAGAACCAGCCTGGTCTGCTCTCAGCAATGCCAGCACACCTGCTGGGAGCCCAGGCAGTGAAGTGGGGTGGGTGGCAGGAGTAGCAATGTCAGGTGTTGCTTGCTGCAGAGCTCAGTAGCTGTGCTGAGCAATAAATCCTTGGCTATCTGGTGTTTGTGACTCCTTCCCTGCACCTAGCTCTGGGATAGTGTGCTGAGGCATCTGAGCCATCCCAGTGATGCAGAAATGATCAGCAGCAAGAGTCTGCTGCCACAGAAGGAGCTGTGGAGATGGCTAGAAATGGAAATGCAAACAGCAGCACCGTTTGTGCTTGTCTCTGTTCCTTCTTGTTATAACAGGAACTTTCTGGTCTGCTGCAAAGGATTTGGGTGCTGACCCAAGGTGCATAAACAAAGCTGGCAGTTCAAGGTGTTGCAGGGTGTGTTAAAGACTGCAGCCTGTGTCTAAGAACCCTTGACTAAAAAGAGGGTGATAAATAGACAATTTGGGCATGTGTTTGTGGAAGGGGAAAAGTGGTGTCTACAGGTTTGGAGTAAGGAACTCTAAAAGAAAGCACAAGAGCTGGAGCAAATGCTCCTGTGCTGAGGGTGAATGATGCAAAAAATGCTGTCAGTCTGGAAAGAAGCAGTGCCAGTAAACACATAAATCTTGGATTGTAGACATTCCCTGACTCTGGAGACACAAGAGCAACCTGCAGAGTAATATCTTGAAGAGCTAAGTCATGCCTAAGTAAAACTGGCTGCTTCATATTCTGGTACCCAGGAGAATTGATCCTAAATTCCAATGTCTTCTCAAGAAAGCCTCGTTCCCTTGGCAGCAACCTGTTTCAACTGATTTTTCTCTCTCTCTCCCCAGCTGCCCAACATGTTTGGTGACCTTCGTTCCACGTTCATTGCTCTGATGATTGGCTCCTATGCTTCCTCTGCTGTGACTTTTCCAGGAATCAAGGTGAGACTGTGGAATCAAGGCTCCTGACTGGAGGTGTTGTGCTGGTCTTGCCTCGTTTAGCAATAATGTGGCAAGAAAGAGGGACTGTTTGCTAAAGCACTTCTTTAGGGATGTGCATTTGCAAGATTTGGTTCTTGTCTCTATTAGAGTCTTCCCAAGTGACTGCATCAAGAATGCAGCAGAGAAATTTCAGAAGTGCTGAGTAGAAGTGATAAACTAAAGATTTTAGAAAAGGTTGTTTTGTTAATCTGAGTGTGTATGTATATATATTTATATACATGTTATTTTTAATACACATATGGATATTTTACTGTGTGATTGTCACCAGTGGTCGACTTAGATCATAATTTATGGCTGGCAGATGGCACTGAGGGGACATGAGATGGTCACCTGGGCTGCCTGGATAGATCACCTGGTTCTGAACCAGGGATGTTTCATTGCAGTCTTAGGTGTGCAGGGAGGTTCCTGCAGATTTTCCAAGAAAGTTAGTTGTCACAAAGTTGTTTTTTGTTACCACTTGAGTTTAACCCATTTTACGTGTATCATGATGTTCTTTCCCTGTTCCTCTCAGACCTCATTCTAAGAATATTGAAGCATCTTTCTGCTCCTGTAGCCAAAACCATGTTCCCTTGTGATTCCCAGGTTATATATGACTTTGGGGTCTCCTTCATCCTTATTCTGCTTGTCTGGGCAAGCTGTGCAGGACTCGTTTTCCTCAACTGCTTCTTCAACTGGCCCCTGGAGCCGTTCCCAGGACCAGAAGACATGGACTACTCGTAAGTCTCTGGGGCTAATCCCATTCCTCTCCTAATCCTCTAGGAAGAGCTGTCACAAAGAATTTAGAGGAGTAGACAGGGAACCCCTTGCATATTGTTTATTGCCACCACCTTTGAGGCTGAGGATTTCTGCCTGCCACTAGCATGTGAATACCTGTGGAAAGTGGAACTTTCCAAACTATGGCAGTTATGAAGGAAAAATGATCTGTTTCTGGTCATAAGCATTTTTATATTGATTTATGCTGAGTTGGCCCAGGGAAAGTATCTCAGTGTGCTCTGGATCAAAACCAGTTGTGGGTCTGTAATGGAAACCAGTGCCTTGAATCCACAAAAGCCTTTCTGACTCCTGCAATGTTGCTGCCTCTGACTCCTCACCCTGTGTTGCAGCTCTCACGCTCTTTGCAACCCAACAGGGTGAAAATAAAGTTCAGCTGGCTGGGATTTGACCACAAAATTACTGGGAAGCAGTTCTACAAGCAAGTGACGACTGTGGGGCGCCGTCTCAGTGTGGGGAGCTCCATGAAGGGCCCCAAGGAGCCAGCAGCTTTGCAAGAGAACAACAAGCTTTGTCTGTCTACAGTGGACCTGGAAGTGAAGTGCCAGCCTGACAGTGCAGGTGTGGTTCTGGGGGTGCCCCAGGGTGCTGGCACAGTCCTGTTGGCCTCCCTGATCTGCTGCAGACCTGTTTGGAAGGCAGCAATACCTGATCCAGGTGTTGCCAGGGCCTCGTGCCAGCCACCAGGACTGGAACACAAGTTGAGTTATATAAGGAATCCTGTCCTTGTGTCCTTCACTGAATACAAATGGTGTGGGGACAACACAGGGGCGCTGATGTGGCTGCAGGGGGACAGGGCAGGTGGTCACTGCTGGCTCTTAGGTGAATTGCTGCTATCATGACCAAGCCTTCTTTACTCTGGGGCATCATAGAATGGTTTGACTTGGAAGGGACCTTAAAGATCATTTTATTCTACCCCCTTCCACCAGAACACATTGCTCAAGGCCCTGTCCAACCTGGCCTTGATGGTGAAAACAATGGTTTGAGGCTTCTTTTGTCCTAATCCACTGAATCAGATGATCCTTCTTTCCTGCCTCCTTGCCCCAGTCACTGGTAGCCAAACTCCAAGCATCTGCAGCTGTTGATTATGAGTTTGTAAGGCACCAGCTGAAGTCCTTGGAGCTGCCACTGGTGCTTCTAGCCAGGAGGACATACTAGGCCAAAATTGTAAATGTTGGCCAGGATGTACTGCCTTCTTCAGAGATTGTTATTCCTTCTGCAGCTACTCCCTCCTTCATGAAGAGTGTCTTCAGTCCCATCCTGTTGCTCAGCCTTATCACCATGTGTGTCACTCAGCTGAGGCTCATCTTCTACATGGGAGCCATGAACACCATCCTTGAGTTTCTGTCTGGAGATGAAAGTCAAGGTAGGGGAACCTCTGAAGACCATTACCTGTTTCCTTGGGTCTGGGGGCTGACCCAGACTTGGTCAGTGAAGGTAGA